CCCCATTAATGTCCAATTTTGTAATAAAAAAGAATTGTAAAACATGCAGACAGACAAGGAGATATCCTTCATGAACTACAATAAAAAACTGTTCTTGAGGAAGTACTGTTAAACTTACTAGACAGAAATTTTAAGTGAGCTATTTTAAATATGTTCACAGAGCTAAAGGAGACCATGTCTAAATAAACAAATTCTAAAGATACCTCACAACATAAAAAATATTAATAAGCAGATAGAAACTGTATCAGAAGAGCCAAGTAGAAATTCTGGGGTTTGCAACTGCAGCACTTGGAATGAAGCCAGAGTGGTTAACCAAAGATTTGAGCAGGTTGAAGAAAGAGTCAGTAGAATGGAATACAGTTCAATAGAAGTTTTCTGATCTTAGAAACAAAAGAACAAACAACAAGGAAGCATTAGCAGATTCAGAGACCTGTGGGACATCATAATCAGATTGACTAAGTTAGATGATCTTAAAAAGAAGTAAGTCATCACAAACAAGGGATCTTCATTTAAAATTAACAGCTTGTTTCTTATCAGAACTGTAGAGGCCCCCCAAAATGGTATGTCATATTTAAAGGAGTTCTGTGTCCAGGAACATTTCTTTCAAAAATGGAGGACAAAGTAAGATGTTCTCAAGTGAACAACCAATAGCTTGTAACTAACAGACACATCCTACAAAAAATACTTAAGGGAGTCCTTCAAGCTGAAGAGAAAACACACTGAACATAATTTGATCAACATGAGGAAATAAATCACACTGGTCATAGCTACTACATATGTAAGTGTGAAAAACAACATACATTTATTTTGTTTGTATTTCCTTTTGTTTAGGAGACAATAGTGTAAAGCAGGTGTCTATGTTGATAGGCACATAATGTATAAAATACAGTTTGTGACAATAACATAATTGGGAGATGGAAATGGTGTTACATAGCAACACTCTTTGTGTACTAATGAAATTGATATTAATCTGAATTAGATTGTTATAAATACAGACATTAATGACAATCCTTAGGATAGTCACCAAAAAGATAACAAAATAACCTAAAAATATATGGTACCTACTTGAAACAGCAAGGGAAGGTTGGATTGTAACCCAATTGTGGAGTACTTGCCTAGCATGCAAAGGCCATAAGTTTAATCCTTACCTTTCTCTGCTATTTCACTGCAGAAATTTCTTTAAAATATTTATTTAAATATTTTATTTTTATTTTATGTGTATGCATGTATTGCCTGCATGTAGGTAAGTGCACCTGTGTCATGCAATGCCCATGGAGAAGAGGCGAACTAGATTTATGGACAGTTGTTAGCTGCCATGTGGGTGCTGGGATTTGAACCCGGGTCTTCTGCAAGAATATTCAGTGTTCTTAACCAATGAGCCGTCTCTCCAGCCCCTTATTATTTTTATTTGATGTGTATGAGTATATTGCCTTCATGTATGTAAGTGCACCAGTGTTGTGCAATGCCCAAGGATGTCAGAAGAGGGCATTGGATTCCCCTGGAACTCAAGTTATGGATGTTTTGTAGCCACCATGTGGGTGCTGGGAATCAAACCCAGGTCCCTCTGTAAGAGCAGCTAGTTCTCTTAACCACTGAGCCATCTCTCCAGCTCCCAGAAATATTCTTTTAAAGAAGATGATGATGATGATGATGATGATGAAGAAGGAGGGAGGGAGAGAGAAAATGGAAAGAACAGTTTAATAAATTCCATTTAGGGGCAGCAGCTATAGCCTGATGGTGAGTACTTGCCTGGCATGCACGAGGCGCCAGATTCAATCCCCAGCACAAAACAAAAACACAAACAAAAGCAAAAATTCCTTTTAACCCAAAAGTTGGTTTTGGAGAAATTGAAGGACAAAACAAAGAGTTGACATAGGAAATGGCACAATGTTATATAAATCTTATCCCTCCAATTAAAAGGCTAGGAAGGAGCCAGGCATTGTAGCACATGCCTTTAATCCCAGCACTCTCATAAACAGTGTCAAGCATACTTCTCAACTCTCACTGCTTCTAGTGAAGATACAAATATGAATATGCTGCTTCCAATGCTTTGACATGCTAATAATTCAAGTATACCCACATTCATGCACTATCTTGGGTAGAGGGGGAAGTGGGGTCCTGAGGGATTGAGATCAGGTGCCCAGGTCACAAGAGCACATGGCTCAGTGAGCTTGTTTGCTTTACAAACAGTAGCTTTTTGAGACAAGGTTGAGTAAAAGTCATTAGTCTAGATTCTGTCCATATTGTAAGTTATTCCTACATTTAGATTTTATCAAAATCCAAAACTTAAAATATCAAGGTTGTAGCCAGGCATGGTGATGCACACCTTTAATCCCAGCACTCGGGAGGCAGAGGCAGGTGGATCTCTGTGAGTTCAAGGCCAGCCTGGTCTACATAGTGAGTTCCAGGACACCTGGGGCTACAGGGAGACCCTGTATCAAAAAAAAAAAAAAAAAAAAAAAAAAAGAAAGAAAAATTCAAGGTTGTAGAAAGAAACACAGAATGAAAGAAAATATTTGTAAGTCCTCTATTTGGCAAGTAGGTAATATGCAAGATATATAAAGAACTCTTCTAATTCAACAACAACAACAAAAAAAAAGATCAAAATTCCAGTTTTAAAATGGGCAGTGGATTTAAATAAACATTTTTCCAGGAAAATAAACAAATGACCAGTAAGAGCACAGCATAGGTCTTTAGCAAATCAACCACAGTGAGCTGTCTCTTTACACTCATTAAACTGACTGCTTTTTTTTTTTTTTTTTTTTTTTTTTAAAGAAAATCGTTGGGGAGGACATGGAGAAATTGGGACCCTTATCTAGCTGGTAGGGTTGCAAAATGGTACAGCTACATTAAAAAATAATTTGAAAGCTAGGCATGGTGGCGTGCACCTATCCTCATAGCACTTGAAGACAGAGGAAGAAAGACTGACAAGCTTGAGTCTCCATCCTGGTCTATGTAGTAAATTCCAAAGCAGCTAGGGAAACAAAGTGAGACCCCCCAAAAAAGTCCAAACAACTCTTTCTCCTTCACATTTATCCATTTCCCCCAAATAATACATAGGCACTATACGAGCCAACAATTCTGTTCCTTGGCTTATACCCAACAGAAGTGAAAAGGTGTTCATGAGAAAAATTAACTCAGATTAGTGGAAAGGGCCCAATGTCTGTCAACTGACAAATGGGTGAGCAAATTGTGAAATATAATTTATCACACAAAGCAGTTAGGTATTGATTCATGCTACAACATGAATGATGCTTGAAAATATTGTGGTGTATGGAGAGAAACCATACCCAAAAGAGCACGTATGTTTTCCTCATAGAAGCATCTACGACGGGGAAGCCCAGAGAGACAGAAAGTAAGCGGGTAGTTGTAGGAGCTAGAGAAATGGGAAATGACTACTTTTGGTACATGGTTTCCTATTGTTGATAAGAATGTTCTGGAATATTCTGGAATGTTAAGATAGTGGTGGTAATGGTTCTACCACCATATAATGAGATACCTTGAATTAATATGGTGAATTCAGTAGATTTACTTAATGTTTCATAAAAAAGTCCCCATTAGAAGTAATATTTTGGCATTGTTATGTCTGTATAGATTAATACGAAAGATATATGTACAGGTACACTTAATAGCAAGATGCATACTCATTGTTTTTAATTTTTTGACATTTTGAGACAAATTCTCACTATGTAGCCCATGCTGGCCTTAAACTTGAAATCCTCCTTCAGTCTCTCTTTTTTTTTAAGACAGGTCTCACTATAACTGGCTGGAACTTGGTATGTAGACCAGACTGGCCTCAAATTTACAGAGATCCACCCCCCTTTGCTGGGACTAAAGGCGTGCTCCACCACACTCGGGTTCCTTCAGTCTCTTATATGCTGAGGTAACAGCCATGTACCAGCATACCTGGCTAAGATGTATAAAATAAAAATGCATATTTTCTCCTGTGAGCTTACTTTTTTAACTCTAAAATTTTTTAAGTCAGATTTATCATGGTCTAAGAATATATGCAGTAAAGTTCTTATCACTAAATTATTTTTATTATTTTGATATGGTAAATTATCTGAGAACATTTCATTTAAACCTATGCTCTGGGGGCAGGTGAGATAGCTTAGTAGATAAAGGTGCTTGCTGCTGGACCTGACAACCTGTGGAAGGAGAACACTGACTCCTGCTAGTTGTCCTCTGACCTTCACACCTATGCTGTGGCACAGTCAATCCCATTCCCACAGAAATAAATAAATGTAAAAAATAAACTTATACTTTAAAGAAGTACAATGATAATAAACATTTGGAAAAGGGAAACTGGGGGCTAGAGAGATGGCTCAGCAGTTAGGAGCACTGACTGCTCTTGCAGAGGACCCATGTTCAATTCCTAGCACCCACATGGTAGCTAACAACTGTCCATAACTCCAGGGGATCAAACGTCCTCTTCTGTCCTCTGTAGGCACTGCATGACACGGGTATACTTAAAACACATGCAGGCATAACACTCATACACATAAAATAAAAATTTTTTAATTAAAAAAATATTTTTTTAAAAAGGGAAACTCTTCCCATTGACTTTCTGTTCTTAGCTAATATAAATGCAAAGATTGGTAATTTTCTTGAAGATTGGAGCAAGGTTTTTTTCTTTTCTTTATTTTAAAGATTTATGTGCACCCCATTCATGCAGTTCTCATAGTGGCCAGAAGAGGGCATCAGATCCCCCAGAACTGGAGTTTGAGGTGGTTGTGAGCCACCTGCTGTAGCTACTAGAAACAGAACTTGAGTCCTTTGTAAAAGAAGCAAGGTCTCTTAACCACTGAGTATCTCTTCAGACCTTGAGCACATTTTTAAGATACAATGTCTTGCCATGTCAGATTTTTTTCATAAGAATTCTTTTATTCATATATAATATATACATTTATTCATATCTGTATGAGTAGATACAATTGGAGGTGATTATAAGTGTATATAAATGATTATATATGGTTTTATATATTTATAATGTTTTTCAGGTCAAGCAAATAAAGTAGCCAAAGAAGCTGCTAACCGATGGACTGGTAGGTATTGCAGTTATGCTGGGAAGCTGTACTTAAGCTTCTTCCACTCTCTATGATGTAAAATTCGGGTGCCTTTTAAAAAATTATGAATCATTTTGTAAAATAATATTTTTGTAAAACCAATGACACAAAAGTTGTTTAACATTTGTCTAACTTTTCCTAAAATAAGTACTAGTTACTTAGCTTACATATATGTTTGTAAGATCTATATGAAAAATATAGTTGAGGGGGCTGGAGAGATGGCTCAGCGGTTAAGAACACTGGTTGTTCTTGCAGAAGACCCAGGTTCAAATCCCAGCACCCACATGGCAGCTAACAACTATCTGTAACTCAGTTCCAGGGGAGCTGATGGCCTCTTCTGTCCTTTGCAGGCATTGCACTACACGGGTGCACTTACCTACATGCAGGTGATACATGTATACACATAAAATAAAATAAAAAAATAATAAATAGGGCCAGGCGTGGTGGCACATGCCTTTAATCCCAGCACTCGGGAGGCAGA